CAGACTTGGCAGTGTGGGATGATCAACGCCAGTGGCCAAGGGGAGGAAATCAGGAGGTCCTGACTGAAAGGAACAAAGTTTCGGTTATGCAGCTGGAATCACTGGAATCAGTCCTAGATGCCTGCTGCACAGCACTGTGCGTATAGCTACCAACACTGTGTTTTATACATAACCATTTGCTAGGAGGAGAGTAGATCTTATTTTTATTTATTTATTTTAAGAGCAGGGACAATTTATTGAGGGAAAGAAAGCTTCTGTCTGAGAGAGACAGAAGGGGGACCTGAAAGTGGGCTGCCTGGTAGATCTTATTTTAGGTGAATAAGAAAGGAAGGAAGAGATAGAAAGAGAGAAAGAGAAGGAAAAAATAAAGGAAGAAAGGGACAGTGAGGGAGGGGAAAGGGAAGAAGAGGGAGAGAGGGAGGGAGGGAGCGGAAGGCTTCCTGGACCTTCTTAGAATATACCCACATTTTACTTCCAGTTCCATTCCTCTAGTCCCTTCCAGGAGGATCAGAAGTCAAATGTCTCACATGTTCACCTACAGAGCAGTGGCAATAAAGGGCTGCTCACCACCGGAAAGGTCAGCCTCTCCGCCAGCATCATGCTGGTTTGCTCCCAGCTGTGCTCCTCCTGGGCTGTGGTTGTGCGCCCCGCCCCATCCCCATACTTTGGTTCCTTTTTTTTTTACTAAATCACTTGGCATCTTGAAAAAATAAGTAAGACACAGAGTCGGTATGTACAGCTTATTTGAAATGCAAAAGATGTACATGTTCAATGCAGACAAATTGAAAACAGAAAAACACAGAGGACCACACATGCACACTACTCTCTGGCACATAGCCCAAGTGGTACGACTGCACAAACATTTAGCTGGATGTTGATGTGCTGGGTGCCTTATTTCAGAGAGCCCTGAGTCAAGACACCACATGATCTCCCTTATTCCACACTAGTGCCTATTCCTACAAACAGAATTCAGTGGCTGAATACTATTTTACAATATTCTAAGCTGTTCATAACAGAAGTTACCTAATCAATCTGCTGTTCTTAGAAATGAACGTTTCCAAGACTTTTGCTTTTACAAATAACCTGCAATAAAAATAAACGTTCATGTCTTTTGCCCTTACATTTTTGAATGGAGGACAATAAAAATTTTAAGGATTTGTTACGCATATGATAGCAGTTAATCAGCATTATCACCATGTTCCCTACGTACTATATATTTCTTCACTGACTATAATCATTTTTTATCATATTTTCAGGCCACAAAAGGAAAAAGTTTTCTTCTATGCCCATTCATTTCTATGTCCTTGTAAGGTATTAAAACTAATAAATTTATTAAACCTAAATTATTCTTTTGCAACAATGATTTGTTGAAGTTATTTGCTAGCATTTCTCTTGAGATATGTCCTTTTTAAATTTGACTTAAATTTTGCTTTTTCTTTTCTACAGTTAATAAACTCTTTATAAGCTTGTAAAGTGTCCTATAATTTCATTTATTTGGATATTTTGAAATACTGATTTAAATTAATATAAAGCAAATCTATGAGTATTTATTATTTGTCTTTGGCATTATGTTTAGGAAGTCCCTATCTATTTCAAAAATTAAACTTTCTCAAGGGCCAGGGATTTAGTTCAGCGGTTCAGTGGCCTGCCTTGCAAGCACAAGCACCTGAGTTCAATCCCCGGTACCAAACAAAACAAAAAAATTAAATTTTCTCTAGTTGTCCATTATTTTTAGTGTGATTTCTTGTTTCTTGGATGGTAGTGTGGGAATGGGACCCAGGCACCGTCCATGCTAGACAAACACTCTGCCACTGAGCTACACTCCCAGCCCTCTTCATTGTTTTAATACTGTTTATTTCCACTGAATTTATGGAGAAGAGTTTACCTTTTTCTCCCTAATAGATTGAAGAAAAATGTATTCTTCCCCACTGAATAAAGCTGCCAACATTCGCACAGTGGGCTGCATGCCTTGGACTGGGTACCCAGCTTTCTAATCTGTCCCACTGTTAAGGCTATTTTAGTTAAGAACTCCATTCTTTTAATCCATGTGAATGTACAGTAAGATTTTGTGTAAATCATTAGTCACCACCATTATTTTCAATACTTCATTGTCACTAACTTAAGGTCTGGCTCTCATTTACAAACATTTCATCAGTTAAAAATAAATTCCTCTCTTTGGAGCTTTTGCTAAGATGATTTATGAAAGTTCCATTACATACCATTATCATAATGTTATATATAAGCCATAATTTAAAACTATACAATGTGTACTTTACTTTGGAGAAAATTCTTAAAATAACAAATATCCCTCTTCAGTAATTCCACAGCTTTTCACTTATCCCACTCCAAGCTGTGATCAGCATTTCCCTTTTTATCACTGGAAACGCGTTCTCCTCTGCACTGGACTCACATGGGGTGCCTTAGAGCTAGCCAAGTGGATTTCCTTGCCTGTTGTTCTGCATTCCTAACTCTGGGTAACTCTAAATACTCATGTGATTGCTCGCCCTGTTTTTGTATATGATTCTTTTATATAGAATAACGGTTTTGTCTCCTCATCCCCATAGCGCTATAGCCTAGTTTGTCCTCTTCCTTCTGCTGTGGCTCGAGCTTTCCTCTCAGCATTGGCCAGGCCACTGGCCAATGACGCCTCCCTGACATGCTGAGAGAACACACGTTTCCAGGAGCAGCTTCCCAGGGCCCAGCACTGAGAGGCAGGAATCTTCAGTGACCCTGATTATCTTCCCCCATGTGTGCCTTTGCCCTCTCCACCCTGCTCCGTGGAGTCAGCATCTCTCTGCAAGACAAGCATGCAGGACTGCACCACCTTAAAGAACAGAAATCGCCCTGGTCACAGTGACAGACCCTAGCACCCACTTCCCCTGCTCCCTTTTGCTTAGATCCAGCTCAGTCAAGCTGCAAAAGGAAGTCAGGACAGTTGTCTCCGATCCGTCTCTGTTCCGTCTGTCTCTCCCCATCCTCTTCCTTTCTTCCCCTCCCTCCATCTCCCTTCTCTTTCCAGAACCATGTTTTACCCGGGCCCCCTCCCCTAGAAGTGCCCAGAAGTTGGATGAAGGCAGCTTCTCTCTGCCCTGACTCCTCGCTCCTACTGGGCATGGAGTCTGCTCACACAGGACTCAGATCTAATGCAGGAGAGTTTCAGAAGGATCTGGAGGGAAACCCACTGAGCACCAAGACCCTTTGTTTTACAACAGTGTGTGGAAACATTGCCCAGACTCCTCACAGCTTGAGTCCTGATGGCAGTGGGGAGCTTCAGGTATCTCAACACACCTCTCCTGTCTCACCACTGCTGAGGGCACCTGCTTGTGTCTGTGCTTGTGGGATTCCTTCCTTTGTCCCTGAAGTTCATGACATCACCCTTGTATATCCAGAAACCTCTCCTCTTCAGTTCATATTCTCCTACATTTCTGTGAAATAATCTCAATAAAACAATGTTGTTTCCCTGTGTACCCAGCCATCTTAGTCACTTTCCTGGTCACTGAGACACAACATCCCACACCCACACCTGAAGGAACAGAGGATTCCTTGGGTTCACTGTTTCAGCCCACAGTCAGCTGGCTCCAAGGCAGGACAGCACAGTACAGGGGCCCAGTAGAGGAGAGCTGCTCACTTCATGAAGGCCAGGAGGACAGAGAAGGCAGGAGCTGGGGAGGGAGATGCACTCCTCCAGGTCACACCTCAGTGACTGCCTCTTCCGACCAGGTCCTGCCTCCTAACAGCACATTTAGCCACAGTGCCCCACAAGTCAGTCACTTTTTCAAAGCCTGTATGAGTGCCTGAGGCTCTCATGGTCACCTAGATACCAACCAGAGCACCACCCTTCACAGACACCTGAGCTTGCCCAGTCCTGACGATGTTTCCACAGACAGAATAAACTGGGCTTTCCCTTCTATTCCTCCACTTTCATTTGTATATAAGAATTTCTTTACATAGCTCTTAATTTAAAAGGTTAGAAAGTATATCGGCAGAGAAAATATAATACCCTCAAAATTCAATTCCGAAAATTTTACTTTAATGTTTTAAATGAGATTTCTGCTCCTTTTGTGCAACCCTAAATGTGCATGAGTGCCTCTTCCCTTCCTGACAGGAAGGAGAAATTCTCTATCAGAAGTGGTCCTCCTTGTGCCAGACACGCCTTACCCCAGGCTACTGGGTGCATTTGTCACACGTGTGAATTCCCCAACTCGTGACATTGCTGAGAGTTCTGGGTTTGAAGGGGCTCCAGATCCCCAATCACCCCATTCCACATATTTGTGCCCTGCCTATCTCTGTCCAGAGTCTGCACAAAGCTGACCCCTGGCCAAGCTCCTGTGCTGTCTGGGAGCCAACAGCACTATGGGCCCCAGATTATCCTGCTCCTGCTCCCCTTACGCCTTCCTCCTTCATACACTTGACTCTGGAGCCAGGAGTCTTTCTGTGTGATTGACAGAGGTTGTGTACCATTTGGTGGACTTGGCCAGCTTTCATCCTGGCTAACCCTTCACTTGGTGCATCAGAAAACTTTTCATCCTGAGACGCAAAACCTGACACCCACAATTTAAAAGAGCAGAGGTTTAACCTGGCTCATGGTTTCAGGGGATTCAATCCATCGACAGCTGGAACCAAGGCAGGAATATCATGGCAGAAGGGTATGGAGGAACGAAGCTGCTTAGGTTATGGAGGCTGGGAAGTAGAGCAGGGCAACAGCACCAGAGAGGAAGGGTGAGGAACCAGACATAGACTTCAAGATCATGTCTCCATGAGCCTCCCAGACACATACAGAAGTGCGCTCCACCAACCCCCCGAGCAGACCCCCAAGCCGATTCAGTTGCCACTCCACCCTAAGCATCTCAAAAACTCATGGCTCCTTCTAACATATGTTCCAAGAATTCCCTGTCAGATGTCTTCTTTGAAGAATAAATAATTATTCTAATATTCATGTATAGAGGATTAAGCTATCTGGAAAGTTTATTCTGTTATTTTATAAAGTGTGGCATTCTTACCAGGAATCAAGTTGCTCAGGTACCATCCACATAAAAAATAAAGGCTTGAATCAAACAGAATCATCCAGCAAACCCAGCCAAATGTCATGCTCCCTGGTTCCGGAGCCTGGTACATGTTATTCCACTGGATCCCTGGCAGGAAGAAAAAGGTCAGTGTGAGAGCTGTGCTTTCTCCTTGACTGTTCATGGTGCAGAAGTTTATTAGACTTGGAAGCCTAAGGAAAGCTGACTGATGCCAAGACAGGAAGTCAACAGCATTAGCTGTAACTCTGCAGAGGAAACCTTAGCATGCATAATCATACGCCAATTCTATCAGTCTCTGTGGAGTGACAGCATTGAAACATTTCAAAGACGCTTTACTTAGATCTAATTTCATACATTAACAGGAAATTTCTATTTAGAAAAAGTAAGCATTTTTAAATAAAAATGTCTCTTTAAGGAACCACATTCTATATTTTAAATTCTTTTGGCTCATGAAAACTGTGTAAGATACAAAAGATCTACAGTAAGAATCATTATTTCCTTAAAATTTATTTTTCAACCAAAATATAAGAAAACCATTCTTCTTTCTAAATTTCCCTAGGGAATTTACTGAAGCAGAACTCAATAAAATACATATTTTGATCATGGTGTACTTGTTGGAATCTGGACCTAAATATTCAACAGTCTGACAGTGACCATTTTTCTCCTGTCTCCTCTCAATCCAGTTTACTTTACAGTGTAGTTGGAGAGATACAGAAAAACACAGCCACAACTACTCATCCGTCAAACACATTTTATCACATAGTACATAAAATCTGAGAACAGTGCCAAATAACTAGCCAATATAATAACAGAACTGAGTTTTACTTATGGCATATATTTTCCCAATGTTTACAAAAACATACCCCAAATCTGTACAAAAAATTTAAGAAATATACATCTGTTCTGTTTTAAGAGTTTAGTTGTCAAAATCTCAATATAAGGAAAAACTCTGCCAAGGATATTTTTTTAAATTCGCTCTAGGCTGCATCAACAGAGATACAAAAGAAAAAATTGGAAAAGACAGCGGTGCTCTGTTCTCTGCAGGCTGGATTAAGGGTCCAAAGAAAGAGCTGACAAATGTGTTGTGTGAGTGGTTGTCTCATGAAGGAGGGGTCGATCGATCGATCGAGAGGGAAAAGGTGGGGAGCAGATCCAGATTCCAGCTCAGCAACATTATCAAATGCAATGGACATGCACCCCCATTCTTACAAGAATTTAGAGGTCACTAAGCTGAGCTTACATCGTGTGGATGTGAGGAAGAGCCAAGCATGAGCCTGGATACTCGGGAGCAATGGATGATGGGATTGTCCTTTCTGGTTCTCAAAACCAGGGCAACATCAGGGAAACAAATACCGGGATTTCCTTCCAAACGTTTCACTCAGTGTTGCAGACTAACTTCAATTTCCAAAAACCTGAATCCCTGGGAGTTGCTTTCTAAACTGCATATTCTCACCTGCCTCTTGTCCTTCCAGGAACGTAATGAAAAACACTCCTTGTCCAAAGGCGGTGGTCGAGAGGAGGCACTGGTCACGGATTGATGGAGTGGGGAGAAAACAGCTCATTAGTGTTTGGTCGAGAGCACAGAAAATCCACAATGCCAAACGCAGAGAGACCGTGACACACACCTTCCGGTCTGAGGATGCCCAGCCATGGCTCCGGTCAGTAATTTAAATATTGGAGCCAGAAGGCTGTGCAGATGTCAGTCCCCTCTGAAAAAACATGCTAACGAGCTGGCTTTTAATGTTGAAGGGAATTATTTATCTTTACCACAGTGCTTGAAGTGCCATAAATCCAAAACAATGTATACAGAAACGTGTAGCTCAGAACACTGGGAAATGGAATAGAGCAATTTACTATTTTTTATTATGAACTGGATGCCCTGGAGTACACTGCAAGCAGACTGATGCACTGTGCACCCCATACTACTCTGGAAAGAGAGAGCCCTGGGGGGAATGGTGTTTTATCTACAGCGGAGTCTTGTGCTAGGGAAAAAAGGCTAATGGAAAAGTATCTTACTCTTAAAAAGATACAATGGGCCAGATTTACGTGTCTGTATTTCAATTGCTAAGAAACACCTGAATATTTACAAAGGAAGTCACCACTGTGTGCACAGATCTTTTAAATAGAGGATTGAAGTAAAGGCAAAAATAATGGCATCTGAAATTCAGCCCAGCTCAACGGCTCCACGTGAAGGAGCCTATTGAGGAGGGATACCGAATGGTCCCCTGTGCATTAGCTATTTAAAAACACTGAGTTAATACTAACACAAAGCCACTGGTTATGAGTTACTGCAAACGTGACATAAGAGTCTTCTCAATTTGAAGAATGCCTGACAGTGGACCCCGTGCCAACGGAACATAACCATTCCCCATCATACCTCCATCTCGCGTGTGTGTATGGCCAGGGCACTGAGTGACTTATGGAAACTGGATAAAATAATTTGGCTTTCATAGCTACATTTTTGCTCTTGGGCCCTGCAGGAGGAGAAAAGATGAGCCCTTCTAATGCGTAAGTGATACAAGAGGGTGGGCAAGAATTCTGTTAAGACCCCAGGAATTCTAAAAGCCATTGAACTCCTCAGCAGTCCTGTGAGTCCAAGGCCCAGTGACTTGGAACACCAGAAATCCACAAGGTGATTCCACTCGTGTCCCCCACAGACACCACCACGGGGCCTGCTGCAGGAGCCGAAGCCCTGCACCTGCTGATGCAAACACGTGTGGACTGGACGGCTCAATGCTGCTGCAGGAGATTGGCTCCACGTCCCCTTCCTCACTGGTGAAGCTCTTGCTATGGCCCAGGCACTGTGCTTGCCAATCATCATTAAAAAATGAGCTTCTATCTTCTCTGTATTTTATGTTGCAGGCCCAAAAACATTCACATGCTTTTTCGGGCGGTACATTCTAAATGGATGAGCAATTCGGACATTGCTGACAGAGAGATCTTTCTATGTAATGTGATGTCATTCATGATGCTTCAAGAAAAATGCTCAATTTTTTACTTCTAAAATAACTACAGAAATCTATTTCTCTCCACGCATGAAACATAGAGAAACTCGAGTTCTGTGCTTCCCGAAGGATGTCACTCATTTCCCAGAATCCTCAGAGGGACCTGTTATGTGAAAAACGGTCATTTTCAATGGGCGGCCACCCCACTGAAGCACTGCACTTTCAATGAGCTACCACTGCACCTTTGGCATTGGTGGGTATAATACACAAGGCTATTGGAAAACCCATGTAGATCTAAGAGTGATAAATTAGCACGCTGCGGGTGGTGGTTTTGTTTGGATGAGCAAGTGTCTGTTTTGCTGTAGTTTGCATATTTACAGAGCTGCCCACTTACCAGAAACATCTGGCTGGCAGAGCTGAGCTGGTTGTGCAGGACCAGCAGCACTATGTAGGGCAGGAAGCTAATGAGATACACCAGGCTGGTGCACAGGGCAGCCGTGTTAGCTTGGCTGAAAAAGGCACTCAGGAAGTAACTCAGCATGACGGCCGACAGCCCAAAATCCAGGAGGAAGAGGAAGATGACCAATGCGTCACTGTGTGCAAAGATGCCGCTGGTCTTCAGAATGAGGGCCACGGCGGCGCTGCTCAGGCTCAGCATGGCCATGTTCTCCAGGAACCAGGCCAGGAAGTGGACGGCCGGGTGCACGCCCATCATTCGCAGGTACTGCAAGTGGGAAAGCGGGATCGTCAGAGCAAGGCACAGGAGGAGAAGCAGGTGGGCAGGGAGAGAAAAGGTGGCCAGCCGATGGCGGGGTGGTCATCAGGGAGGACACTGCCCTCCAGAGGGAGTGGGGCTGCCACAAGTGCCACCCCAAGTGGCCATTCACCCCATAGCGCAGACAGGAGGCATGAGGAGGATCCCCGGTGAGGATCAGGCAAAGGCAGGGACCGGTGGCTGAGACCACAGGCCTGGCCAGCACAGTGGCAGCCTCACTGTGCTTCGATGTTTACTGGGATTCGTAGTTTTCAGGGCTGTTCTTCATTTTGTTTGTGGTGGTTTGTTTAATAAAGAGAGGGATGAAGAAGGGAAATGTTGATGCTTGTGCTCTGTAGGGTGGAGGGTCATTGAGTAGGCTTAGATTGTGTTCTGCAAAATAACCCTAGTAGAAATAATAAAAATAAAGTCTTCCACTAACCCTAACATCTGCTTACCCAACTCAGTGTGGTATCTTTGGATGTGGGCTCACTGTGTGTATAAGGAGGACAATTGAGCTGGGTGTGGTCATGCATGCCTGTCATCCCAGCACTCTGGAAGGCTGAGGCAGGAGGATTGCAAGTTCAAATCCAACCTGTGCAGCTCAGTGACTTAGTGAGACCCTGTCTCAAATTTAAAAATAAAAAGCAGATGGGGATGTAGCTCAGTGCAAAGGCTTACATGCAACCCCCTAGCACTGCACCACCACCTTCCCGAAAAAGGTGAACTCTTAGATACACACACTGATGGTCTGTGGGCCAGAGGTAATGGGGAGCCTGCCAGTGGGATGGACCCTCCATCCCCAAAGTTCAGCAGCCAAAACTGAGTAGGGAAGAAACAACATCCCAGTAGACCAACTGCAAAACGGTGAATAACAAGCAACCCTGTCATTCAGCCCTCTGCATTGCTTATAAACTTGATATTAAATACTCAGCAGGTAAAGAGTATGCACCTGTGGTCACCCAGCTTCACCCCTCTTTCCCGGACACCTTCATCCCACTTCACTGCTTTTTTCTTTTTTTCCTTTTTTTGTTTTTTGCTTTGTTTTGTTTTTTAATTGTACTGGGGATCAAACTCAGGACCTTGTGCTTGCGAGGCAGGCAGTGGCACCACTGAGCTAAATCCCTAGCCCTACTTAAAAGTGATAAGTTAAAGTAAAATACCTATGTTATATTTTCCTGAGGTTTATACAAATCAGCCAAGGACTGGGGTGACCCCAGGGGCTGTCAGAGGGCGGGGAGCAGAACAGGCCTGGTGGTCACTGCACAGGGCTCACTTCTGGAGCCTTCAGCCCACCACCTTCCACCCTAGCAGGCCAAGGCCTTCACCTCTTCCAGCTGGATCTCCCGCTCGTACACCAGCTTTCGGACCATGCTGGCCACGGACACCATCCAAGTCAGCATCATTATCAGTGGGAGAAAGAATCCGACGTTGTTCAGGAATCTGGAAGGGTACAGTTTCCGTCAGCAAAATAGTTCTGTGAAAGTCGGGCAGTGGACAGACACAGCACCTGTGTGAACTTCTCAGTGTTTGCCTTCAAGGCTAGCATGCACTTGAGAAGCAAGACAGCTGCGACTGGGATCCCACTCTCCAGGGTATGCACACAAGGAAGGAGACCCACACAGGAGACATAGCTGGTCCCTGGTCCCCCAGAGCCCAGCCCAACTGCTCTGCCACCTGCTGTATGCAGAGAGGCGGACAGAAAAGAATCCGCCGTGAGCCATCACAATGCTTTCTCCAAATCACTGAGGCTATTAACCGTCTCCACTCAGTCACCCTAGCTGACCGCAGATTTCCATCCATAAGATACATATGAATTGGCAATTGAGCATTTCCACTTCTGTTTCTCCCATACTCACTTTCAACCCACGGGCTCCACTTCTGATTCACAACCATAATGCCAATGACAGTTCCACCCTTGAGTGCAGCAGCTTTCGGCCATGTCCCTGTGGACATCACAGCCATGTGTGATAGCAAGGCCCGATGATAGTTCCCGCCTCCTCACCCTGCTCTTGGTTTCTGAACCACCTCTGCTTTTCCACTCACTGCTAGGCAACTTCTCAGTCCCCTCCACTAAAATGTCTCCTTTGTCACATGATTGGGCCTCGGATGCACAAATGAATGAAACAGAAAAAGGTCCTACCACTAAGGCCTCGATCCATTCTACAATGTGGGGAGGGGTAAAACAAGCCAATCAAGCAAGAGCATTCCACAAGGTCAAGTGTCAACTGTGAGGTAAGGGGGACAGCAGCAATTAATGCAAATGTGAGAAGGATGCTTTTGAGTCAGGGCTTGGGCAAGGTGGCTGCAGAGGAAATAGCTGAACAACAAGCAGAAACAAGGAAGGAGTGGTACAGCGGTCCGCAGGCTCCAGGCAGGAGGGGAAGGTGCAGGCTCAGAGTTGGCACAGGCGGACCCCGGTCAGGAGCAGCTGAGGTCTGAGGGTCAGCAGGAGAGCTGGCAGTCAGAGCATTGACTGGGCCCAGATCCTGCGGGCTCTGTGAATGCAGGGTCAGCCCAGGAGCTTAGTAAACAAACAAGGAGATGCCACGGGGGGATTGGAGGAAGCGAGGGAGACAGAGAGCTGACATAATCAGGCGTATGGTTTTGGTTTTTGAATTTTGCTTCTTCTTTTTCAGTCCTTGGGACTGAGCCCAGGACCTGCACAGTGAGCAACATCCCCAGCCCTTTCTTTTCATATTCAGATAAGGTCTGGCTAATGCCCGGGCTGGGTTCAAGCTTGTGATCGCCCTGTCTCAGCCTCCCAGAGTGCTGGGAAGATAGGAGGTGCCTGGTTTTTCACAAGACCACTGAACCGAGGGTGGCGAAGGGGTGCAGTGTGCATAGGGAGCCACTACTGAGGTCAGTCCTGGAGACTGGACAGCCAGGAGCCCTCAAAGCACCCAGCCAGCCCTGTTCAGTACACTGGTGTCCCCACCACAGCCGAGGCTGACTCTCCCACTCCTGCCCTCAGGAACAGGCCTGCTGCAGAGAGCAGCCTATATTTGCTATTGCACACATACGAGTTCTGCACTCACTATTTCCATCAGCTCCATCACTGAATTTCCTATGTGAAGACATGGATGAGTTTTCCCAAAAGAAAAGGAAGCCAACCTTTCTTCCTATTCATTTTTCTGCTTCAAGCATCTGTTGTGAGCTCGGTGAGTCAGCTTAGCGAACACAGTAAAGTGTGGACAGCTTGTCCAGTCCTCCACTGTTCCTGGAGGGCAGGGTTTTAGATTTTTAGACTGACAATTTTCTGTGGCTTTTTAATCATTATTTTTGTACTACTCAGAACAGGTAGAGGACTATGAACAAGGCATAAATATACCCACTTGTACTCACAAATGCCTCTATCCTCCCAAAGTGACGGGGTTGCCACAAAGATGAAGCCTGGGAAAACTGTAAAGCTGAAAGTAGTTCATACTGAGTTTATCTGGGGGTTAAAAGAAGGTTGTTCATAAATTTCTCCATTCCCAAAGGGCTGTGGGTTAACAGCTACTCTGTTCTCCCGGAGGCTCCAGTCTCGCCAAGAGTCAGTGAGAACCAATGTCAGATATCCTCCATGTTGGGTGGTCAGAATCCACAATGTGTGTCCATGGGCACTTGAGTCTCTGTAATGGAGACTCAGACCCACCCAACCCTGGCATTCCTGGAGCAACTGCTTGGGACCCGCAGCTTCTACACTCTGCATGGGTGGGAAGGCCCAGGGAGAAAGGGGACAGGATAATCAAAACAAAGATGAGTGCTCTCCAGATGTGGCTGTGTGGCACAGACTCTGCACTCGTTCCTGGAAACTCATCAAAAAAACCAGTGAGGGGAGAATAGAAATGTACTTTCCAGTTGTGCTAAATACTTGGAAGAGACATCCGAGCATTTGACAAGGCTGCTAAAGGCAAAGTTTTGACAAGGCTGCAATTATGTTCATGTAAGGGTCACAAAGGCAGTGCAAATAAAAGCGATTGCAGTGGTTCCCTCCACAGAATTTAGAATGCACCTTGAAAAACAGACTTCTTAAAAGCTAGCAAGACATTCTGTATGGAAGACACACACAGCCTCACGGTTGAGTGAGGTTCAAGAGGCACTCTATATTGGGAAGCAGAGAAGCCACCCAACCCCTACACCCTATTTCCATGGAAACAGACACAAAAAGGCTACCTGAAGAATCCACACACTTGCAGGAAGCTCCTTGTCTTTGTAGAAATGGAACAGAGCCTTTGGGCTCTGTAGCCACTGATGGCATCTGGTCCTCACCACCAACATTACCTTCTTACAGAACTTGATCGGGACACCTGATTCATTCTGGATGAGCAACCGTCACAGAAACAAAAACTGAGCACAAAAAAAAAAAAAATCTGTAAGAGGGAGACTGAGAGTTGCACCATTACTAATGAAAAATTCCAAACTGCCAAAAAGATGGTGAAAAGAATGACAGTATCTTTGCCACCAATTCCAAAATGCCTAATAAAGCAAGTCCCTCGGTAAGAAATACTATACAGCGAAGCTGTTGGAATTAGGGATGATATGGCTAGATGCCAAAACAATATGAATTGCAAGCTGGAAGATCTTAAAAAGAAATAGATGGAAAATTGTAACTATCAGACAAATGATTTTTAAAAAGCTAGAGAAAACACCAGGAGAAATTGACACTGCCCCAAATATAATAAAGACATAAAAACATAGACAATAATACAACTACAAGAAAAAAAACAGTTAAAAAGAATTAAGGGAATTATATTAACTAGAAACACTGGAAAAAGAAATTCATGTCATTAAAAACCCTGAAGAAGGAAAACAAAATACTAAGAAACCACCAGGTTGTTAAACTTATAATACAAAAAAGGGTTTAGGTTGTAGTCCAGATCTAAACCAGTCTTCAGGAGTTTCACATGTTTAGATAATGTGGGCTCCAAAATCCCTCCCCTCCCCCTGTGGATTTATCCCTTGAAGAGCTCAGTAGTGCATGCAGTGTTAGGAGGCCAGGCCTGGCTGAAGGGGATAGGTCCCTGGGGTTGGGACCTGGAAATACATATTCATGTCCTAGGCGCCTCCCTGCCCTCTCTGCTTCCTGGCGGCCATGATATGAGCAGCCCTTCTCCTCTAGGCCTTTTCACCATGCCCTACACTTCCCTGGAAGCCAGCCAACTATGAACTCTTAAAAAAATCAGTCAAAATAAACTTTTTCTCCTGTAAGTTGTAGATGTCAGGTATTTTGTCTCAGTGACAGGAAAGTGACTGATTAGGTTTCCATAAAAGAAAACGTAAAGTGACAAATTCAAAAGACTCATTTGTTTCAAGGAAAACTTTCCTAAAGTGATCAACAATTAATGTATTCTGCTAAATTTACTGAATTTTAAACTTACTAGAAGCTGGTCAAAATTACCAAGTTAGATGAGAGAAGAATATCAAGAATTCTCCATAATAAGGTAAAGTCCAAAAAATGATAGATCTGTTTTTACAAGATCTTTAAGGAATGTGTGAGCAAAGGATTTCATACCCAGCTGAGATATCTTTATTTTCGCCTCATTCTTTCCCAGGCCTGGGCGTTCCTCAAGCCTAACCAGGAAGGCGGATCAGCCATCAACATGCCAGTCAGGGGGAAGATGGCAAAGCCTGTCAGGTCACTGGGCCAGGCTCCTGCAACCAGCAAGTGGCAAAGCTGGCACCCAATTTATCACATCCAAATGCCACCAAGTGTTAAGGGCTGTGTGTAAGAACTTGTTATATTATCTTATGAAATCTTCATAAGGAAATAATTGAGAACAAATTTCAGCCTACTAAACGATGACTAGTAAATTACAGTGAAAGGGTTAATAGTCAGCAGTGAATACCTTTTCCAGTCAAAGAAAGACTAAAACAAAAATGGAAATTAAAAGTACGAACACATTTTGGAAATTTCATATTCCCTGAAGTGTAGTTACAATGTGACAAGTAAATGGATGGGGTATCATGGGAAATGAGTCAGGGAGAAAAATTAAGTTGGGGTAAGACAAAACCAAAGGCTAATTTTCTTTCATATTGGCACATGGAGACAATAAGTGCCTTTAATGGTGGGAAAGATCAGTACATCAACAAATCAACTGAAGCTGCACCATGGAGAAGAGAAAGTACATGATGAAGTAAGAGCAAATACTTTGCTTTCATTTCTCAAAGGACTGATGTTTTTTATAGCAGTTGGAACTATAAAGCAACCACTGGGACCGTGATAAAGCATTACTAAATAGTAGTTCGAAAAGTAAAATTATAAGTCTAAGAAAAACAAGGCAGAAGACCCTGTGGTGGGGGGAGCAGGGAGAGGACCAGGAAAAGGAAGGAAGGAAGTCAGCCAGCAAGGTGTGGCCCCGGAAACAGTTCTGACCTGTGCTTTCCAGCCTCTTTGAGAGGATACTCAGATCTCCGCAAATATTTGATTGTCGCATTCCATTTTCTGCAGGTGGCACTCC